TTTGTATCATGTTAATAACATTATTTAAATATTCTCCGTAGCAAACAGTAACTGCCAAATATTCTAACTCAAATCATACTCTATTATTTATGGTAGTTTGTCATCCGTTTAGTCTTTTGCGAGTACGAAAGTCCAAACCATAGTTCGTTCTGTTCAAACGTTTTCCCACACCTTTTTAAATTGACGCCGAAACCGATTTCCTACATTAATTTTCAGCGCACTAGAATCTGGTCAGTCAGGTATACAGTATGGAGATAAAATTTCGCGGAAACGTTCTGATCTTAACTTAAACCTCAAACACAAAGCTACTAAGCCATTTTTAGAATGTGGGGCCCGCCTAACGCTTGGAATTTCATCGATATGTTCACAAAAGTAGGTTGCATACATGGGCGACGGTGTAACTGTTTACATGTTTTGAGCTTTCTAATTACCCTTTAGTTTTTTGAAAGAACTTCGGGATAAAGGACATTAAGAACGTGTTTTGCCGTTCATGGGGTTATTCACAATTTAGCCTAGTGCGTGGAAGATGTGTCAGCTAGGCGGCATTTTCCAGCCATCATCCAGTGTCTATAGTCATTACTTTTTATAAGCTACGCATTGACAGCCCTTGCTGTGACAAAATACGCAGAGCATGCAGGTTTGATTTTCTTCAGAAGACGACGGCCGACTGCATGTACCGTAGGAGTTTCCGTTAAAGCCGGCTAATAGACCTACCAACCACAATATTCTACCGGTTATATGGCCTGTTTTTTGTAAATTAAAGAAGTGCAATGAAGTTTGGTGCAACGGAACGTTTTCTCTCAGAGGTTGAAATACCCTTGCTTTAGAAGTACTTTCGGCAACTCCACACAACTCAGCGGGACTGGTTAAGGCTATGTCGCCTTTTTTTCCAATGGACTAGGCCCACGCCGAATGTTTCCTCGGTCTCACTTTGCACCGCAGCAGGCCTTTTTTTCTTAATGCATGCCTATCAAGCAAAATTTTCGCAGAAATTTATTAACATTGGAAGGATCATTAACTTTGACGAGAAAGTGTTCGAAAAATATAGAGGTTTATAGGTATAGGTAGACTGTAATCAACGTCTTGTGAAAACTTAATAAAGAAAGTGAGTCGAGTGAGGCACGTCTACATGGGGCATGCATATTTACATTTCTAGTTTTTAACTACCATCTTCAGTGGCCTTCGTCTTTGTTGGTGAGCGGTTTACTGACAGGAAACTCGACAGGAAACAATCTCTACGGCCCCTAGAACCAGGGCAATATGGCCTAGGAGAAATGCCCGTTTGGTCTGAAAGGCAAGGCACGCCACACCCACGATATGCTGTTTAGACTATTTTACGGCAAGAAAATTCAAATGCAGTTAAATTATGTAAGCAGTGTTTTTTATTGGTTTCTTTCGTCTCGTTTCGCAAATATCTAAGCTATTAATAACTTTGCTTGTAAGGAAATGATTTCGCTTTTTGTCCTCTATTGAGCCATACGGTCGCTCACCAATGTGCTTGGCGATTTTTTAAACTAAATCGTGGCTCTTGGAGGCCAAATGGTAATTAATTAAACTGAATAAAAGAATTTATGTACTTTGGGAGGATTTAATTTAGCTCAGTAAATCTTATAGGTAGTGCGCAAGCCAGTGGCACTTTCAGTTTGGAATTTTTTTGGAAAGCGTAAAAATAGGTAAGAAGTTCATGTAGAAAAATATTTTGCCGTTGGCCGAAGAGACCAGTTAGACAGGGCAGTCATTTCACATGCAGGAAGGGTCAGTTGTTAATGCCAACAGTTCGATTTATATAATGTGGAGCCGACAAAGTTGAGGGAGACCGGATATAACATTTTGGCTTATTAGGCGTCATTAACCAGTCATACCCAATTCCAGGTGTGGATCACTTGAGATTCGAACCCGCGACATGGTTATCATTGGGTGTCGCATTCTACCATTCAACCGCGAGCCCGTTCGTTTCGTCAGCTTCACTGTGGGGCTAACGGACCTGGTTACGGCACATGTATGCCCAGTTTTGCCTTGTAGCTCACGTGTACCGTGTATATTGCAATGCCACACTGTGAAAAAGGTCTGACTCTAGCTTGCTCGCTGTTTACGAAAACTGATAAATAAGGACTTGTGGCATGAATGGGCAAAACACATTCCTTTGCATAGCGGGTATGTTTCACTCACCTTTCTGACTTCCCGTGACTCCTTACTCATGTGCTATTTAGCAAGCAGGGAAAGTAGAAGCGCGCTTTAGACTACTTTACATAGGGCAAAAAATACTGAACTTGGAGTACTCATTGTTGGTTTAAATGAAGCCTTCATAATTCCTTTTTGCGCTTGCTGAGACATTCCGAATTTGATTCGTATGGTCCCTGGGCTGGACTTCCAGCTAAGTATTTTCAAACCGCAACGGTGGTTGTTTTTTTTTCCTACGTATGGAATGGATGTCTCTACAATTTTGCAGCCGTTGTAAATGTCACAGTATGTTAAGGACTCAACCTTGGGTTGGGAAGCACCACTTCCGTCGACATTTTCCTAGTTCGCCGTCTCTGAGCCTTCATTCACCATAGCGATCAGTTTTTAGAAGTCAGGTGTTCATCCCATTCCTTTCTGAGATCTAGCAATGCTCTATCGATTTACGATAGAAGGGATAATGGGAAGACGTGGGAATAGAAACCCCAAAGTGCAGGTGCTTTGCGCTTAATTTCGAAGTGTTTATGGTAAGAGTCAAGATAGCGTTAGGGTGAAAGATTGGACTAAAATGTTGGCTACGGTTATGGATAGGACAGAAAAAAGGCAACCTTACGGGAATCTGGCACTAGACCTACTCTATTGCAGGGCTTCTATCCCCCTGTCCTACCAGGATCCCGAAGGACATCCGATATTCGAATGACACCAAAAGGCTTTGACTCGTACTTTTCAAACTTTATGATGCATTAGCCTTTAAAATAAAACGGGACAGCTGGGTTACTAGGAGCGTTTTAAACCCATTTTTGTCCGGCGAGTTATCCACATTAAGATTAATTAATTTGGAAGAAGGTGGCATATGTTTTAAAAACGTCATCTTATCTTGTTCTGCTGGCTCTTTTGGATACCTAGTACACACTTATGAATCCTTGGTGGAAATAGGATTAAAAATTTGTCTACTTTCCTCAACGTAATCTCCATCAAACCATAAATTGTCTAATTTAATGTGAACGTAATCCGACGGTTGCAGAGGCAATAGTAAATTATCTCAAAGTTAGACTAATACAGTCAATTAACTTGAGATATCTTGCTGGCCAATCAGGTAAGACCTAGGAAGCCTTATGTTCACCTGCGTATCCCCTTGCCGTAGCCATGTAATTTCTTATGTGTTGCATGCCCTGGACAATGGCAACAAACTTTATCTGTATTCTTAGGTAAAAGGTACAGCGCGCTTGAGAGGTTGGTTCCGAGAAAAGCGTAACCCTCTGTAATCTTAGGGAAGGTATATCAATGTTGACAAAAATACTGACTGACGAAGTCATTTTCCCGAATTTAATGTGTCGCAGGCCCTTCAAGGTAGAGAATAATCCATTGTATCATCAGCTGTAGAAGCAGACGGCTATGGTAGTTCA